TCTCTCTCTCTCTCTCTCTCTCTCTCTCTCTCTCTCTCTCGGTGTATTTTGATGACCAAATAAGTAACGAGCTTGTAATATACAGTATCTATATCTGAGAAAAATACGGTCTCGATCAATCAATGATCTCATCGGTTTGTGGAGGACAATAAATGATTAAAAACTACTGGAGCGCATAAAATCCTTTGGATTTGCTGCTATATACGCATATTATAAAAGATGATGAAATTTGATTTTTACTTTAATGTTATGCTCTATTTTATTCATGGCACATATTATAAATCGATAATGGTGAAAATGAAACAAAAAAATTATTCCCTTATCGATATATTTCATCAAAATATGAAAATATTTTTTTCCTTTTTTTTCTATGTGTATGTGTATATATATATACAAAAAATATATATATATACATAATTCAAAGACACGAAATCACGTTATAGTGACTAACGTTTCTTATCAATTATACAATGCAAATTTAAAGTTCCTGTATCGTCAAAGAACTATTGTAATTCTATGTATTTATTGCGCCGTAGTTTTGGACAAAACTTAAACAAAAATTGCAGAAATGCAGCAAAACAGGTTTAAAATTGTTAAATATACCATAGATTTCTGCGTATTTTTGTCATCTGTAATTTCTATTTTAATTTTTGATTTTATTATTTATACTAATATTTATTTTAATTATTTATTATAGATTTCATCTACACAATTAATTTAAAAAAACAATATATACGAAATTCGTATTTTTTGTACTAAATTCTTTCAATAAGGAAGAATAATTGTATGTATACATGTTGAATTTAAACAAAAATTACATTGAAGTGCCCTTTGTTCTTGTAGATCAAGGTATAGTGTACAAGGAAAGAATGAGAATAAAAAAAGCGAATTTTATATTTTTATAATAAAAAATCTGTATGTTAACATTTTTTTAAAATGATAATTAATATTTATTTGTAGATAATGATTTATTGTATATAAATATTTATTCTTTTTCTACGTTTGTAAAATATACTTAAGTTCTGATAATAGTACAACAATTCATAAATGAATTGTTGCATTAAACTCTTTGTGATTATGTTAAAATATAAGTATTTTACTATTTTGATTTTTTATTACAGAATTTACAGAATTTTATTACAGAAATATTATTACAGAAAAAAATATGTTGCAAATAGATATTTGAAATGAATAGTTATCACATGTGTACTTATTATAATAAAAAGTATAACAATATATACAATATATTTTATTTTTTATATTATAAAATATATAATTGAAAGAATTTTGTTTCTTATGCAAATTCACAAATATTGAATATAATTATAATATATTTCTTTATGTTAGCAAATATGAATAAAAGTGATTATAATTGATTTGTTTATAAATATATACAACAAATACTTCTAAAATAAATATCCAAATGTCTTCATTATTTTTTGTATTACCTAAATCTATATATAATAATTTATATATTGATAAATTTTATATTTCAAAATTTAAAAATTATTTTATAATCATTTTATTTGATCTACAAGTTAATTATTTAAAAATTACTATGGATTATCAAAAAGTACGAATATATAAAATAAATAAAATATTTACTAAAATTTAAATTAAATACAATTCTAATATGTTAAATTTGTTGAAAAATTTTTTCGAATTTTGAAACGAAAATACGCATTAATTATATTCTTATTATTTTTTTTATAAATAAATTGTTGTATTAGCTAACAAAATTAGTTCCATATATTTTCAGCTAATTATTTTGCAGCAATTGAACATTTCATTATATTTTATCTAATTATTTAAAAAAAAAATATTCTTTATCTTTATTCTTTATTTTAGGTTAAAATTAATCAAAAGCATAATTATAAATTATCTATATCTTTTACAATTAGAAAATGAACAGGAAAAATTATTGATATTTTTATTGCATTATAAGTATTAGATATTGTTTAATTCATCATCATTTATTTAATCAGTTATATTTTATATAAAATTTTATATATAGAAATATCTATTAAAATATTTAATCTCAAGATTTCTTTTTGTTTTTTCAAGCATATTATTAGAATTTTTAATTAAGAATATTTTTAATTGAAAATATACAAATTTGGATAAAAAAGATTGAAGAGCATTTGTTCATTATGCGCGAATTGAAGTTGCTACTAGAATCTATAGACTTTTATATTTTTTATTAACAAATATATATAATTGTTTTTTTATTTTAGCCTTGGAGGAAAGACTGCTGGATTTTTAATTACCTTATTGGTAATATCTTCGTTTTAATTAGCATATATGATGCTAATTAATCCTGTAACAAGTTTAATATATGGAGGGGATGATAGAAACAATTAAAGTGCATAAAATTCCTTGAAGAAGAAAGTAAACAAGATAAAGAACCAAATGATACAAATCTAGAGATTGAAAGAAATAATTTACCTTCATATTAATAAACTATGCGGATAAAAACATATTTCATGAACTTATTAAAAAAAATATGACATACAAAAAAAAAAAGGAATAAAGAAGTGAAAATGCGCGCATCATATATATATATTGAGAAAATATTATAAACTTCCATTTTCATTGTTTTGTATATAATCACGCAGAATTGTTGCATTGATAAAGAGACATAGAATATTTCTTAAAAATGTTCGTCACGCGAAAAGTAACATTTTTTTATATAGTGTGTGTAATGCACAGTATTAGAATATAAATAAATTAATTCTATATTGAGCAATATGTACGTCAAAACGTACAAATATATGTATATAGAAATCTATATATATATATATCTAAAAAAAACTAATGTGTGTTAAAAGTATAAAATTTGTTTAATAATATCATTATATTTTTTAACTATTCTTTCATTATACTAAAAGTTTGAATGAAAGTAAAAAATATATTAAGATTTCAGTGTTTAAATATTAAAAACATTGTCACTGTCCTTTTGTTATATAAAAGATTTTCTTTATTTTGAAGTTCCGCATAATTTCTTATTTTCTTCATTTTCTTTCTTTTTTTTTTTTTTTTTTTTTTAAGTTTTATTTTGTGTATTAAAGATTATATGAAAATTAATTAAAAATAATATCATCAAAAATATTCCATAAAAATATCTTTAATGAAATTTGTAAATGAATTAGAAAATGAACAAGATAAAAAATATTATAAAGGATAATATAAAAATGAAAATATAAAGAAAATATTTGGAATATTTATATATTCAAGATATTTAATTAAGATTTCTTTAGATATATATTTTATTCTTGTTGTACAGAATAAGAAATTTTTTTATTATCATTTAAGATAAAATTTATATTTATTGTTTAGTTTGCGTGCAGTAAATAATTTAAACTTATAAATAATTCACTAAACACTGAAATCTTTATGCTGAATCTATAAAAGATAAATTGACAATTTTAATTTATGTATATCAGAAGATAATATAAACAGATAGTACATTATAATCTTTGTCAAATTAACATTATTATTTTAATTTTAGTTGTAAGTAGGTTTTTTTTTTATATTCATTTGTCACACAAAAAAAGAATTTATATTATATTAAAAATTTATAAAAAAAATTTAGTTACATAATTTCATATACAGTGAAGTGTCAACCATACCTTTATGAATTTTTTTTTTCTCTATTTATATCTTAAAAATAATTTCAACACATTTTCAACATACTATTTTCGTTATTAGATTTAATCTACATTTATATTACTTATCTATGTGTTAACTACTTTTATTATATAATATTAAGTGTCTATTAATTTACAATACATAAAAAGTTAAAAAAAGCTCATTGTTTAGAATATTTAAAACAAATTGTTATTGATCTTCTATGGGTTATTTTAAATTTTTTAATTAATTTAAAAAATCAATTATTTCGAATGATTAAATTAAATTTTAACTATTCATTTTAAAATTTTATTGTTAAATGCCTATACTTTACTAATTGTTTGTATCAAATAATCATTCAATTACCCATAGAGGATCAAATTACAAGTAAAAATGTAATAAAATCAAAATAATATATACTGTACAAAAGTATAGTTGATACTACACTGCTTGTATCTAATTTTGTGATATATTAAAAAATTTTATACAAAGTAATAGAATTGAACTGATCGCGAACGAGTGATGTTTCGTTTATTGATCAATTGTGTGTTTTGCTACTAATTATAAAAAAAATACCAGTTATAATAGTTAAAAGACAAATTAAAACGTATCTAAATATGGGAAGGAAAATATTGAGAAAAAAAATTCGCAATTTTCATTCATCTACATTTATCTGTGAATACTTAATACTATGCTCTTATTTTTGCTATATATGAAAATTGACATTTTTTTGCTGCCTCAACTAATGTTATTACGTAATAAACATATATATTTAAAAAATCAACAGTAATTAATTAGAAGAATAACTTTTTAAAAACTACAATTTTAATCGAAGTTATTTTATTCAATACAAATAAATTTTTAAAAATAATGTTAAATTTATTTGTTTTAAAATAAAATTTAGATCATTGTTTATATAATTTTATTATATATCCTAGATTGAACAATTTATCCTTATATAAACATGTCACATAAATTATTCAGAGCAGCGTATCATTCGTATAATATTCGAAAAACTTTGAACAAATTTTATATTATTTAGAATTCAAAATCTTTTGTAAATTAATTAATTAAATATTGCACTTATTCAAATAACAATATCTTGATTAATTTGCTGAGAAAAATATAATTTTCTATATTAGAATAAAATATTATTTTGTTATATAATAATATCTACTCAATAAAATAGTATAGAAACTATATTATATTAATTAAATTATATTTATGTTTATTTTATAATTTTTTTAATGGCAGTATTTTAACAAAAATATTTCGATTTAAATTTTATGGTATAGTATAATATAGTATAGTAATTATCCATTATGTGTTAAATTTTAGTATAATAATTATTATTTTGTACTATAAATATTAATTTATATATAAAAATTTAATTAAAAATATTTGCTATTTTTTAAATTACAATTATTATCTATTCAAATTTAAGTTTAATTTAAACTTTCTTAAATTTTTTGATTTAAAAATTTTTAAATTAAGAATTCTTTGACAATATGATTTTTGACAATATCTGAATAGATATCAAAAAATATAAGTGAATTCTCAACTTGCATATAAAATTTTGTACATAATTATTATTTTTATCATTTCTAGATAGTGATTACTATAAATAATAATAATTGTTTATCTGTTACATTGTATTATAAAACAGAATAAAATTTTTAAAAAAATCTAAATTAATTAGTAATAGTTTAAGTAATATTATTATCTATTTAAAAATTAATGAAAAGTTATAAATTATATTTTGGCTGATTTATTGCACTTAGTTAAAATTGTATTATCATTTAATATTCTATAAATATGCTCATTTAATTAGCTTACATTTTATATTAAATATTTAATAAATATTCTCTTTTTGCAATATATTTAAACTGTTTTTTTTTAAAATCCTATACAAATTTTTTTATAATCGTTGTTAAATATTTAATATGATGCATACCAAAAATTTTTCGTATTATATATTCCATATGTACAGAATTTAAAATTTCTATGCAAATATTTTAAAATATATGAAATTTCTTGCATATAATGTCAAACATCGATTAATATTTATGCAAACATTGAATAAAAAATTTTCTATTGAATTAAATCTATCACATAATTTACAGTCAGCTTTTAAAATAATACTTCAATTTTCCCTTACCCTGTCCTTAAAATGCGAAAGAAAATATTGAAGCCGTCTCTATGGTAAAGATGGTAATGATGGTAAAGGCGGAGCTGGTGGTGGTAATATTTCATTTTCTGTAGATACAACATCTGTGTGTTTATGCCAATCAACATATAATAAATGTGACAAGCTCTGAAGACCTGCCACTGACATTCCCCGACAATAACGTGTATCTAGATAATGTAAACTTTTGCAATACAATTTAATAGAATCGAGAGTATGATCCGTGAGTTGTGAACATCCCTGTAAAAAAAGATCATTACATTCTTGTATTAAAAATATAACATATAATTATAATATATAATTAATTTTTAATTATAAAAGTACCTGGATGAGAAGTCGCTTCAATCTATGCAATCTTTGTGCAAGATATGATATACCAATATCCGATATATTATAACACCGATTTAAATTTAAATATTCGATGGCTGGATTATTTTTCGATAAATAATCCAATCCAATATGTGTAATCTATAATAAAAAATAATATGATAATAAATTATATATTATGTTTTTTTTATACATTATTTGAATTATTTAACACGCACCTGTTGGCATTGACTTAAATTTAAGATTTTTAATTCTGGAAAAGCGAATGCGTGTTTTAAACTGACATCAGTAATTCTATTACAACCAGAAAGGTCGAGTTCTTGAAGGCATTTGAGCCTGATTAAAGAGAAGCCAGAAAATGGATTTAATGGTTGAAATACATTTTCACAAAGATGCATAATTTCTCGTTTTCGATCAGCGTCGCGTACTATTTCTTCTTCAGCTTTTGAACGTAAACTGATTCTAAGTCTAGATTCTGTAAATTCTGGTTTATGTACAACTTGTATTTTTTCGACATACTCATGGTTACCAGTACCCATACCCGTTAAGCCAGCGTCACTGACCTCATCACAATGGCTTATTTTTAATGTTTGTAAATGTACAAGCTCCTTGAATATCATCTATAAAAGATAAACTTACTTTTATATGCATGAGCATCATCGCTGGTACAAAAATTTATGATTTACAGCGACTCTCTTAAGTTTTAGTAATTCCTGAAAGTTCAGGAAAATAATCAGCATAAAATCTATTAAAAATCTATCATTTTATCATATTTTTCGTTTTTTACAAATAACATCCTTTTCATGAAACGCAGATAATATTAATATAAAATAATAATAATAAAATGATTTTCACATACCTGTATTGTTTTATCAGTAACACCGTTAAAACAATAACTAAGTTCAAGTTGTCTTAAATTAGGGAAAGATTTGGTTATGCATTCAATTGATTCTTCATGAAGATGTAAAGCATTTGCTGATAATACTCGCATATTCTCTTTTCTTGTTGTTTCTTCTATAAGATCATTTTTTTCTGATGAAGTAAAATTAATATTTTCAGAATCAATATTTTGTTCTATATTATTGTCATCTATATTATAACCAGAACAAAGACCATGAGTAATACAATCACCGGTAAGTAATTCATCTTCCGAAATATCGAGTTCTTGTAATTTTTTTAATAATTTAATATATTTTATACCAATATCAGTTACAGCACGACATCGTTTTATTCTGAGCGTTTCCAATTTTGTTAAGTTTTTACAAATGCAAAGTAAACTAGCATCTGTGATACGTACGCAGAAACTAATATCAAGAATTTTCAAATAAGTTTGATATTGTGTTAATCCTTTAATGCCTTCTATAGTTAATTGATAACAACTTTGTAACATCAGAGATTCCAATTTTAGATCTTGTAAAGCTGACAAAGTAGCTAAAGCATTTCCATCAATCAAAGTATAACCAAAATTTAAATGTTTCAATTTATGTGCTTGTTGCTTAAGATATTGTAATGTATTTAAAAAAGTTAAAATTGATTTTGAAGCCTCAGAAAAACTGATATTTTGAGGGTAAAATTTTTTATACAATCCATAATGGAAAGATATTTGACAGCCTATGAGGCTTAAAGATTCCAAATTTGGACAAATAGCAACTAGTCTATTAAAAAGAGCATCACTTAGAAAACGATTATAACCAAGACTAAGTTCTTGGACATTTTTAAATGTTTCTGAGAGTTCTTTTATATCATTTTCATCTTCTAGAAGCCTACCAGACATTAGACATTCTCTACAAGCATTAATGCGTAATATTTTTAAAGACTTACAGCATTTAAAAATTTCTACAAGTGTTTTTTCACTTAAATCACAACATAACTGAAAATTAATAATAATTATAAAATTAAAAACAATTTCCTTATATATTTTAATAATAATATTAATAATTAAATTAATTTTACCAATACTAGACTTTTCATATGAGGTCCATATTGATCCCAAATAGGCATATTCCTTTTTAATTCTATTTCTCTAAAAACAAAGTGATAAAATGGTCTTGTAGAATGTTGTAAAAGTTCTATCACTTCATTTAAATTATCTGCATGTGGTCGACCAAGTACTAATTCTTCTTGATCCAAAAATTTCATGGCAAGAGATGCTTCATGCCATGTTTGATTAACTAATCCTGCTGACATTCTATCAGATGTAGACAAATATGATAGTATATGTATAATTACCTAAAATTAAAATAGACTTAATCAATAAAAATATATATAATTTATTACCTGAAAGAAATAAATATATGAAACAATTTGAAATTATTTTCTACAAAATATATTGTTATTATTACAAAAACTTATACTTAAATTTTTATTAAATTAAATTAAATTATAATTGTTAATTATTTTTTTAAATAAATGTTTTCAGGTTATAATTATTTATTTTGTGAAAATTTATATATTTATAATGTAAAGAAAAAAATATAAATAAAAAAATGATTTAAATAAAAATAAGATTCAAATTAAATATAGATAATAAAGACTTACATCTATAGGCAATTGAAAATTATCCATATCTAACATATTACTCATACGAGTTTTGCCGTCAGACATGATCGCCATAATAAAAATTGTTAATAAAAAATCGTAAGTATTTCGTTCCAATGAATGGTATATCTTATAGGATATTAATTTATGATTTTACACTAAATATTCGTATAACAATCAAATCATTGCTCAAATGTATTACAGTTGTTTTACGATAGTCACGTGCTTTTCACTCATATTAAAATCACACTATAAATATAATAGTTCTGATTTGCTATATAATACATAATAGTTATCACAAAACTGCTTAATTATATTTTTAATATTCTTACTTCGATACTATCATTGTACTGCTTGATTCATCAAAACTTAATGTAGAAATAAATAATATTTTTCTAGTTATTTTTATAAATGTATATATATTCTGATAATTTTTGAACATAATATTTAAAAAAAATAATTTTTTTTTACACAGCCATTAATTAGTTTTAATAAATAAATAATTATATATATATATATATATATAGAAATCATTTCTCTTCGACAACTTATATCTACTGATCAGCTGATCTGTCAAAACAACAAATCAGCTGGATGGATTTAATGGCTTTTGTCCCCCATTTTACGGAAGTGCCAATTTTGGAGGTAAATTGAAACTCTATTTAATGAAATTCATATAATTTTATAATATTTAATTATTCATTATAGTTTTATCAATATTATAATATTTAAAATCTAAATATTTATTTTTATAATTCAATGAAAAATCAATTTAATTTTATATTATGTAGCATGTTCCAGTTACAGAGCATATCTGTGAACAACCGAAAGAAGAAGATGAGATAATGGCTATTAGAAAAGGAAATCGGATTTTGGATAAGTTGAGTCGTTGGTTTATGAGACAACGTGTTTTACATAAAAAGCATCCTTTAACTCGCTGGTGTGTCAAAAGTACAACTGCAGTTAATTATGAAATTTCGAGACACCTCAAATCACATCCTTATATGATACATCCTTTTAGTTCATTCAGGTTAATTTTAAAATATATCCTTTCAATTATTTTTATAATTAAACTATTTTAATTTTTTAGAATCGTTTGGGATTCAATAATGATTATATTCACATTTGTGGCTCTTCTGATCACTCCAATAATCATCACATTTTATTTTGATGAACTCTTTACCTATTTTGTGATTAACGATATAATAAATATAGTATTTTTATGTGATATTATCATGTGGTTCTTCACGGGTTATTATGATTATCAAACGAAGCTTACTGTTCTTGATCCTATGATTGTAGCACGGTACTTTAATCATTAAATGATGATTTTGATAGAACGATATTATAAATTATCAATAATCGATATTTTTATTTTTATGCAGGAAATATTTGCAAAGTTATTTCCTAATAGATTTTTTGCCCATATTACCCATAGGAATCTTCATTTTTATTGTACCTAATTCAATATGGTACTGTGCTACATTAAATATGATGAAATTATTAAGAATTCGCAATATTCTTGCTTGTTCTAAAAGACTTCGCGACGTTAGTTATTTTTACATTGATTATAAAATTATGACAAAATTATAAAATAATTGTAAATATTTTGAATATTTTTATAATTTTAGGTATACAGAATATATTTTCAATTGCATAAAATTTTAGATACGTGCGTGGTTATTATAATATGTATTCACTGGGCTGCTTGTCTAGAATATTATGTTCCTCTATCTGTATATGTTTTAGGCACTTTAAGTAATGAGTTAGTATTTATATTCTTTCTATTATATTTATTTCTTCAATAATGAATTCTAAAATTATTCTTGGATCTATTTAGGTCTTGGATCAATTCATCATATTTTCAAAACAGGGAAACAACAGCAAAGAAATATCTAATGTGCTTGCATCGTTCGCTTATCGCCTTTTCTCGTTCTTGCCATTTTTTAGATATGAAAACGACAGAAGATATTATATTAAATATGATCTTAATGATAGTTGGATGTTTTGGTGCCATATTTTTATTAAGTAAGTATTTCTTTATTGTATGCTATCGTTATAATAGTATATTATACAAATAATAATTATCTTTTTTATAGCGCAATTCTCACAATTAATAACAACGTTTCATATAACAATTAAACATAATTTGAGGCTGATAGCACAGTTGTTAGAATATATGCGATACAAAGAACTTCCATCTGCTTTACAACTTCGTTTATTAACATTTTATCATTATCGCAATAAAAAAGGTTTCGAAAGAAATCAGAAAATCATACAGGAAGTTTCACCTTATTTGCGGGAGGTTCATTTAATTTTTCCTATAATTATAATAGGAAATGCAATTATTTGAAATTATTAGCTTCTTTAATATATAATTATATGAAATATAAGAAACTAGTAATTTTTTATGTAAAAATAGATAGCAAAACATTATTGTATGTTTTAATAATGAAAATCTTCTTTCTAGGAAATCATTTTGCATAATTATTTGAAATTCCTTAAAAACGTAGAATTATTTAAGCATCTACCAAAACATATAATAGTACAGTTAACAGGTGCATTACAATCCGAAATCTATATAGCCGGTGATGAAATAGTTAAAGCTGGCACCCGTGGCGAAGCTTTGTATTTCATTTCTTCTGGAACAGTAGCGGTTTACAATTCTGCAGGAAAAGAAGTATGTAATGTTATCATATCATATCATTATCATAGTTTCATCGACTTTTTTTTTTATGAAAGATAAAAAATATATTTTCTTTTTCATAATGAAATATAAAGATTTGTCATTTGGAAGATGAAAGTTATTTCGGTGAAATTGCCTTGGTAATGGATACCGAGCATAGAATAGCAACTATAGTTGCGGTGGAAACTTGTGAAATATACGTGTTATATCGCCACGATTTCCGAAGATTTATAGCACCATATCCTGATCTCTTAAACCGTTTGCAAAATGTTGCTCTTGAAAATTTGAATCAAAGTCTTCTTATAGATTCAGAGAATTTAGAAATCTTTTTCATGCCGCAATATGTTAATATAAGTACTATACAACGTAAGAAATTATAAATTTAAAATAATATATTTTAAAAATTTAATATTCATTAAATAGTTGAAAAATTAAAATTAAAAATAAAATTTTCAAATTCAGATTAAAATATTTAAAGTTGTTTAAAATTAAAATTTGAGTTCGTTACATTAAGATTTGAAATAAAATATTTGTTATAATTCTATTACTATTTTACAATTTAAAATTTAATTTGTATAATCTAACTGCGATAAATTTTCCGTTTGTATGGATTCTTATATGATTGTTGATAAACTGACATAAGTCTCCAATGTTCCGGAAATTCATCATCTCTATATCTATTAACAATACTAAAGGGAGGAACCAAAGAATCGATACAAAAAGATTTTTTAGCAAAAGGAGTCTTTGGTCTTGGTATCGTTAATTTACTTTCATCTTTTTGATTATTTTCAGTACCCAATGTTAATCCAATAGCAGATCTAATCAATCTAGGATCAATATTTTTTTTATTGCAGGCAATACATTTCCTAAACATTTCTCTTTTTGGTTGTTCTTCGATTTTATTCTTCTTCAATATATTCACATTCAAATCCTTGCAAGTACAATCATAACATTTTACATTTTTATTGTTTTCTTCTTTATTTTTGTAACAATAATTTGAATCTTCTTGTAATTTGCATTGATTTTGGTAGGATGTAGAACTTTTCTTGTTTTTTCCTGTTTCAGAATAAACGGAAGCTTTAGAAGTAGAACTATGTTGAACAAGAGTAAATATGGCTGGCGCGACTCCACCTTCTGAACCATCAATATGAATAGGCTTAGGTGTTTCGTAAATCGGATTTATTGGAGTTTCCCAACAAATAGCTAAATCCATTTTTGTTTTGGGCTCTTTACAACCTAAAACTGGTCTATAATGTTTATTTGCATTCATACAATGATTTTTAAATTCTTGTTTACAATAGTCACAATATTTTTTCGATAAAATTTTATCAGAAGATTCTTCTAATCTTACGTTCTTGAAAACAGAATCATCGACTTTATCGGGAAGAGGTTGGTGTTCTAAATTCTCTGCATGAAGCTTCTTTGCTATAGCAAATTGATCATAACAAGCTGATCGATTCTGTGATAGTCGTTTTGAAAGATCTTCCTTGATTTCTTTTTTTCCAAAGCACTCTGGCACATGTTTATTTAAAGAAGATATTCTTAAATTTCCTGAAATATATCGTGGCTGACAACATTCGTGAGATTCATTACTTTCTGGATGAACTAATTTTCCCGGGCAATGAGTACAACATTTTTGAGCCTTCATATTTATCAGTCTTCATTTCCTTATATTTTTTGTAAATAAATTAAAGTCTGTAGAAAATACAAATAGCTGTTAACTTTTTAGAGAAAAGTTTAACTCTAATAGATGATAAAAATAAAAATATTGGAAAAAGCTTACAAATTTTATATCTATGATTATATGTTTAACTTAACTCGACTAAGAATACTATATCCGATCTTAAAATTAACGAGAATGATTGTTTGCTTGACAACGGAATAGCTCAATAACTAAGATATTCTACATAGTTATATATAAAGAATCAGTTTTGGCCCAAATAATATCAGAATTATAAATATCTTGGAAATGAATCTTTAAATCGAAGATATTTTACAATAAACAAATTATTTAACTTTATTATCTAATTACGATCTCTAGACATGAAACTATTTAACTATTTTAAATTTAGAATATCTTAACAATCTAACTATATTACTTAGAATAAAGTACTCTTAGAATAAAGATCATATATTTAAATTATTTTCAAATGACAAAATAAAATATCTTGGATTATAATATATAATAATAGCATTCGGAAAACTTCCTGATACTATCTATAATTTTTCATATTGTTATATCATGAACATGAATATATTTGTAATAGATTAATTACACTTCGCATCAGAAATAATCACCAATACTATTGAGGAAATATGATGAACCGGTTTTATAATACAATTTTCTTAGAATTCAATATTACTCAGGATTACAAATTTGGAACTTTACTGTTTATTTCCAAGTACATCGAATATTACGTTCTTCGAATAAAATTAGTGAAGATAAAGATCTGTGAATTTTTTTTTATGTACATTTTTTAAATAATATTTATCGAGAACTGAAAAAAATAAAATTTATATCATTATTTATAAAAATTTGTTTTGATTTTGATAATAATCTTGTTTTTTTATTGATTTGGCAGATTTACATATTATTTATACTTACGTATCGATCATTTCATTGGAATAATGCCATCCCTTCTACTACGAAAACCTTGACATAAAATATTAGAGCGCGTCTTTAAATATTTCTGAACGCAGTTGCACATAATATGTAAATCCTAAATCATTTCTTTTTACAATTTCTTATTAAATTAAGCAATAAATATACTAACAAAAACTTGAAATAAATATTAAATATATAAGAAATTCACAATGGATTTTATAAAAGAATATTAAATAAAGATTTTGAAAAAGAAAGTAATTTCTATTTTTATATAATAAAGTGGACTGGCATAATGTAAAAAAATATTACTATTGTGCTACTAAATGATTAATTTCAACAAATGTAGTCTTGAGATAAATGGTAAATCCAAGGGAAGCATGACGTTTACATGAATCATCTAATTTTTATTGAATAAATGCAGTGTTGCATTCTATTAAAAACCTTTCAGTTAAGTAAATCGGTTTCAGTTAAACGTTATTATAATTATTACGTTAATCATAATTATTTTACAATTGTAAAATATAATTATAATATAAAAAAGTATATATAAAAAAGTATAATATAACAAAGAAACACACATAAAATATAAAAAACGTGGTGTATTGTTAAGATTCATGGTGTTAAGATTCAATAAAAGTGAATAATATAAATTTTTTCTTTCTATATATTAAAGGAATGAACAGAAAGAAAGCAAAAAAAAAAATTTTTATGAAACTTACATGTGTGCAAGAAATTATTTTCAAAATATGTCTTTCGCTATACTTACTGTTATCTGAAAAATATTGAAAATATAGATAATGGTTAATTAAATGTGTAATATTATTTAAAATAAGAATTTGGAATTAATTAAATTATGGCTCAACAAAACAATAAAAATGATGAAATTATTTATATGGATGAAATTGGTGATGAAATACCAGAATCATTAGCTTCTAAATCATTGGAAATGACTGTTGGAGTACGTTCTGATGCTATGATTGAAACTGACAATACGAATAATCCACGACCAATTACAAGTTCAGAAATCAACAATCATAAATTAGCTACTAATTCTTCTATATTTAATTATCGAAGTACAAATAATGGTCTTTTATCAAGTGAACCAGGAATATCAGAAAATCCAAGAACTCCATTTTTTCCGCGATCACCTCTTCAACCGATACCTGACGTGAATATCTATCAACACAAAAAGACGCTTGCTCAAGGAATGATGGATTTGGCTCTTTTGTCTGCCAATGCGAATCAATTGCGTTATGTTTTACAAACCGATGGGGGTCATCAATATTATTATCCTTCATTGGTACTAATAGGTTCCAGCTTATTATTGCAAATTGCAGTAGGAATAGGATTGATATGGAATAGCAAGTATAATATTAAAGACGATGCTCAAATGTGTAAAGCTGATCGGACTAATAATTGGACAGTGATTGGTATATTCTTAGTGACAATTTTCAATGTTTTCATCTCGTCATTTGGCGTTGTTAATCAAGTGTCGACAGTACCTATACAAACTTAAATTTGTTACTGAAATAATGTTATGAATTAATGAGCAATTATGACATTTTATATTTTAAATATAATATATACTTGAATAATCATAAAAGAAGATATGGATTTTTATTTTACTATGAAAATTAAACTTGCACACAATAGGGGATTGATTGTAAAATTTTTTCCAGTTTCTTAAAAAGCATCTCTTTTTTTTTAGCTATATTTTCTGTCTTTTCATTCAATTCGGTAGAAATTTCCATTAACCATTTTTCTATTTCTGTATTACTATCTTCTATCTGAACTTTTAATAAACGCGAAATACATTTACGTTCACAGTCTAGAAAATTCATAGGTTTCTCTTTAGATGATGATGTTTCTAATTTTTCTTGAATTATACAACATAATAAAGAAATGAACTTCGAAACTTCATTCCAATCCATATTTTCTAAATTGACATTTTGTAACTTATTGTGTTCTTGTATTACTGTTATCTGTAATTTTTATTATCATTATTTTATTATATTTTATAAAATGAAATATTTGAATATTATATTAATATTAATGATATTTCTGTTACTTACCATCCATTCAAAAAATATATGTTCTTTCTTCATCCATTTTATATGTATATTTAATAAATTAGCAATAGTGGATAATTCTTTTATATGTTTTTTATCTTCATTAGATAGAACATCTTTATTAATTGTTGAAATACGTTTTATTAGTGCTGCTTCTGATACACTTAGATGTGGCAATCCACAAATTTTATTGCTTGCAGCATGAATTTTACTTATTAATTTAGTCCTCTCAGAAATCAATTCAGATATCTCTTTTATATTATAATTTACTTTACCATTTAAGTACAATACATTGTTAATTTGTGCAATGATCGATTCTGGTATATAACATTCTGTTTCTTTTTTCTAAAAGATAAATAATATTATATATTATTATTATAAATAAATAATATTATATATATTTTTTAATTGCTACTTTTGTTTCATTTATATTTAAAATTAATTACTTCTAAGTTATTTGAGTATGAAAATTCTCTTGCTAATATGCTATTAGAAAGATTTATTTGAATGATAACATTCAAAATATTTTGTGTTCCAAGAAGCCATGCAAATGCTAATAATAGTGCTCTGCTATTTTTATTTTGTTCAGTTAGAGCATAAAACTCTATTGCTGGATATTGTAAATATGCAAAGTATAATTTAGTAGCCCATATTATATCTAAAATAAGATTAACTTATTAAGTATCTTTTAATATTTAGTAAAAAGATTTGAAAAATCAACAAAATTTACCATATTGTTCAAAATTAGTTTCAATTTGTTTCTCTTTCACAGCATAATAACTTAAAACATTTAATATTTTCCAAAATATTTTGTCCTAATACAAAAAAAAATTGTAAATTAAAAATAGTTATTTTATAAATATTTTAAAATATATAAATTTATATTATATAAAGGTTATGCGATATTGTATATAACACTCACGATATTTTCATCCATGTCATTAAATTTTGCTTGTCTAAAATACTCAGGTTTCATCATAACATTAATTGACAAATTTAAATGCTGACATAATAGAGATAAAACATTTTTTATATCGGACATTATTACGTTTTAAATCTAATGTCATGCACACAAATTTCAGCTTATCTGATTTCATACGCGTTTTTTTTTAAATTATATACTGTCAAATCAATAAATAAACTATTGGAGAAATTAATCAACTGACTTAATTTTCAAACAAATTTATCATCAATAAAAACTATTTTAGTATAGAAGTTTAATAATATTTAAAATTATACTATTAAGTTTTATCTAAGAATCCTTTAAAATTTATAATATTTTAAATATTTATTACTATTCTTCAAAATAGTATTATTTGAATTATAAAACCAATTGACGGATTTAAAATTTTTCACAAACAAAGAAAACGGTCACTATTTAACAGCCTGAACTACCTGAACTTTCCTAGAGATTCTCAATTCTAACAATATCAATACGATTTTATTATTTAAGTGTATTATAACTACATAAATGACAATAATAACAATGGAGATATTTCTGTTCAGGTAAAAATCCAGCACTTTCTTTTAAATTAAAGAAATAAAGGAAAAATAAAGGAATCATTTGTATCGATCTATTTCTATAAATTATCTGTATAAATATATACAAAATGTTTGTTTAATTCTCAATAATAGATTTATATAAATATAAACTAAAAATATAAAATAGTATAATATAATTTAAATTATTTTTTATAAATAATACGATAATCTATAAATAAATTTTATATTAATTTTCGTATAATGATAAGATAATGAATATTTTTAAATTGGTATTAAAATTTAAAAAAAAATAAATATTTTTATTATAAGAGATTTATAAAAAAAACAAAAAATATTATATTTAAATATAATATAATTATAGTAATATAATATAAATAAAAAAATATTGGTTCGATGTATGAAAATATAAATGAAAATAAACTTTAAAACATGAATCATATTAATTTTTATTAATGGTTAATTAATTATCAATGTAATAAAACGAATTTTGTTATAATTTATATTTTTTATGTATTATATTACTGTTATATGAATAATATATATATATATATAGAAGTCACTCCATTCCTTAAAGCATTAAAGCTAGATTATAAGCCGTTAGAGTGACGAGAACTCCACCTGGTATACACAAAGTTCTCTGATGGAACAACGGAACAAGTCAATCGCGTGCGGTCAGTTGAACGCGTAGGATCAGTGAGTGATTCGACTGCTCGAAGAGAATTTGTTTTCTTTAGAACTCAATTAATTAAAAAAAATATATATATAATAAATTATTTTAAACAAGTGATAATTATCTTAAACAAGTGATAATATATTTTTTTAAATTTTTAATTAAAAACAGTGAATTTCGCGAATTTTTTGTGTATTAAAAATAACAAGATGATTTTTAAATATAAAAATATTGAACAAAGATACAGCGATCTGATTTTTACGTTTATTGAACTTTGTTTTTTCATAGAACTGGTAAGAAAACAATATTTTTTATATATATATTATTAATATTAATATTTTAATATAATAAAATTATAATATTATATATATATATAATATTATATATAATATTATAATTAAATTATAATATAATAGTTTTGTGACATAGTGTAATATCAATTAAAAACTATATATATAGAATAATCTGATTACTTAAAATAAAATAAAGATTTTAAAATAAAAGATTATTATTTATATATATTTTGCCATTATTCGTTTAGAATATCGTTAAATCAGTTTTACAAAAAACAAACTCTCATTTCTGATACTTCGTATATATATATATATATATATATATGTTGTATCTATTGTATTTATTATTAATGAAATTTAATTGCATTATGATTGAACAATTCATTGCAATATCGAAAAAGAAGAATTATCTAAAAAATTATGATGTAACATAAATTAGAATCAATAAAAAATTTTGTATTAATATTAATAATTTTATATTTTTTAAACAGAAAATATTGCAAAACATCTAAAATTAACGTACGGTCCATTATATTTACGTAATCTGAGATTTGTTATCGTCGTGTAATAGAATATTAGTAGTCAGAGTAAATTGTTTTAAATTAAATAGATTGTGTTAATATTTTATCACGAAGTTTGATAAACAAATAATAAAAGAAATAAATGAAATTAATTTTCGATTCAACTTTTCTACTTTCAATTTATTTTTATCTTATATTTAAAGACTAACAATTAGAGGAAAGAATGAAAGATATTGTGTGTATTTCTCATAAATATTCAATATCATTTCAATACGATATTTATAATTCTTAGAATATGATGATACTTTACATGATACAATAAAAATGTATTTCTATTTTTTTTAAAGATAATAAATTGTTACATTTTTTGGCATTTGTATAGAAATAATTGAAATAAAAAATAATACAACTCTCAGATAAAATAAGCGATTAATATTGTGTATGTAATAAATGTTTTGCGATGACTTCGTTATCGTTGAAAATTCTCTTGCCATTGGTTTATATGATTATATTTTTTTTTCATATAGATTGTCTTTATGTTTATATTAATTCTGCAATTCTAGCATATTACTTTGTTGATAAACATTTATATTGTTTTTTATTTAAATATACAATAATATAATATAATATAATATAATAAATAAAAATATATTAGTTTCGTATTTAAGTCAATTAAAAAATATCGTTAAATATTACTTATATATTTGTCCTGGTTAGAAGTTTGAATAATATAATATTTATCGGTAATAAAGGGAAAAATAATAATAATAATAATAATAATAATAATAATAATAATAATAATAATAATAATAATAATAATAATAATAATAATAATAATAATAATAATAATAATAATAATAATAATAATAAAAATAACAAATAATAGTAATAAAAAGGATAAAATAATATATGAGGGAAAAATTTTATTTTTTTATCTTAATAAAGATAAAAAATAAACCGTAAAAAATAAATATAAATAAAAATTGATAACTCTCCTCAAAAATAGTAAAACTTTAGTATTTCTAAAAGTATTTCTAAAAATTATGTTAATAAAAATTATTTATTTCGATTTTTACTTTTTATAGATGAGCCAAAATATTTGCGCATATCCCTATAAAAATTATCAAAATGATACACAAGTTGATTTTGAAAGTAAAAAAGGAACAAGGATAGAAAGATACGCTTCAAATTATGAAGATAGTAATGCATCATTCAAAATTTTGTCAAGAAATCAAGAAAAAGAAAGTATGAATTGTAAACAGTTATATATAAATAATGCTTTTGTAGTATCATTGAGAAATAATATGTTTCAATAAAATAATTTTTTAATAATTAATCATAAATTACATTTAATTTCTAATAATTTTAAATTGATTTTCAATATTTTACTAGGTTTATCATGGGAAAGTATGTTATCAGATGCTCAAATTGTTTTTCCTGACGATCAAAAAGAAGTACCTTCTTGTAGAGGATCTACTTTTTGCGAAAAAGTAGACTCTTATCCTGAAGATGTTGTAAATATTGCGATTCAAAGAAACGAAAGTATTAAATACTTGGCTACTGTAGATATAGTAAGTCTTTTTTTTTCTTATATTAAATCTTTTTTAATATTTGTTTAATATTTTATAATTTAATATTTAAAAATTTGTTTAAATATTAAATTTTTTAATCAGTTTTTTTCAATTTATTATACAAATTTTTTTATCCTTTTAGTTATCTGATATATCACAGAGGATCGATTTCATGGACGACAGCCCTCTTTGTCAGTCTAATGTAGGTATAAATAACATCATTTTCTTTTTATAAAAATAAAATTAAAATTTGATACAAATATTTGTTTATTATTATATATATATATAATTATATATATTTAAGGAGCGAGTTGTATTTCCTAAATCAGCAAAAAATAAAGATAGGGAATGGAAATATGTTGCGAATCAAGAAAATTTTAAACAGGGTGTACGAGTTGAAGTGTGTCAGTAAGTATTGAAATTGAATTCTTTTTTATTAAATTTTTTTAAATTATATATTTCAGAATGATATAAATATTTTGTATCTTATTTGTAGAAAAGAAGACACATGTAACGTAATAGGAAATCTTCCTTTAGGTTACAAATCAATTTGTAAACAAAAATTCATTCAAAGAGAACTTTTATCTGTATCGTCAAACGGCTCGATGTCTCCAGATACTTTCCTATTTCCATCAAGTTGTTGTTGCCATGTAACATTTACTACAAATACACGAATGGGTTTTTAACAGGCAAAGTCAAGTTAGATCTGTTCGTGAATCACGTCAGAGACGCAAACGCGATGAAATATTACCTTTTAATGGAGCAATTAATGTAAAGTAATTGTCACTTGATAGTCATTTCTGATATAATTGTTTCGGGAATAAAATCAAATTTTAAATTTTTTATGGATATCTAATACTTGATTAGTCTGCTAAATAATTAAAAAAAAAATTATTTATATTAATATTATAAAAATGCAAAAGAAAAATTAATCCTTAATCAATTTCATTTTAATATTGATAGAGATTTTTTAATAATTATAAAAATATGAAAATATATTTATTATTAAAATCATTATCATCAATATATATCATTATTAAAAAAATAAATAAATTAATAACAAATAAACAAAAAAACAAATTATAAATATAAAGCATTCCAAGTTAAAGTACAACATTATAACATATATAATTTTTATATATAGAATATTAATACCATATTTTCTTTTCTATAAATTTTCCTTTCCTATTTTTATCGTGTAAAAATTAAAACTTAAAAAAATATATAGAGCTTAAATCATCTTTTAATCTTTAAATTTTAAAATATTTTTAATATAATATATAATATAATATACATGTATGTATGTATATGTTTTGTGTGAATGCACGCGCACGCATGCATCAATATATATAATTTAATTTAATATGATAAAAAAATATAAAACATTTCATAGAAATTTCATAGAAATATTGATTAACTAAAGCTAATAAATTTGAATTTAAAAAAAATGAAATTATTCATAAGCGCTTCTTTGATCATCAATATTTTATGAATATAAATTAAAGTTTAATTTGAATAAAATATCTGTTTATATATGCATATGAATGATATGTCTTTGAAGTATAATTTATCTTTATGTATTTTATAAGTGATTTTTGATTGCATAGAATTCTCTCATAGTATATTCTATTAATTATGCATTCAATAATATTCATTCAAATTATATACTTTTTTATACAATTAGATATACAGTATATTTTTTATACAATTGTAAAATATCTTATAAATAGAACTTTTATGTAATATATTAATTATTATATCAATATGTATATCAATATTGTGATTGTTAGTTTAAGAATATCATTTGTTATATGATTTTATAATATTTTACATAAAATAAAAATTATAATGTAATGTAATGTATATTATGTATATTTATTTATATCCTATACATCCTTATTTTTTTAGAATAATGATATAAAAAACATTAAATAACATAATATATCATTCATAAATGTAAATTATTTACTATTCAAAAAATTTAGAATATATATATATTTATGCAAAGAAATTAAAATACTACTTATTTTGAAAATACACAGTTTATTCTTCTTACACACATTAAATATAATACTTACAATTATATTTATTATTTTATTGCAAGACTTTCTACAATTGTTTCAACATTATACAATATGAATTAAAATTTTCTTTTATTCAAATTTCAAAAGTATTAAATAACATAAGTAAATATTTATAATATATAGGAAGTTTATGATATTTAAGTTATATATATATATCTAAATCATTATTTTCTTTTTAGAATTATTAAGTTTATACATCTATACATTGATTCAAAATAAGTTTTTTTTTTGCTTCACAGAATTTCTTCTAACCTTCTGTTTTCCTTATATCTCATACTAAGATAAGTCCATTCTTGAGAGATTACAACATTTATAAAACAATAGCTAGCATAATTCATGAAGTTTAATAGAATGATTTTAGACTAGGCAAATACATATAAATCAGTTTCTCAATTTTTGACACATCTACATTCCAAAAATTTCTTAATGTAGATTTATATACCCTATTTAGGGATGAATACAGAAGTAGGAAAAATGGGCCGTGCTTTGTGAACATGAATGTTCACCATATACATGTTAAAAATATTTATCCATTAATCAGCACAGGTGAACTATGCAAAATACATTCTTCATTTTCTTTTTACAAAAAATACTATTAAATAACACAGAGTACTTATATTTGCATTTGCAAATATAAGAATAATATCTAATATATATTATTAGTAAATCTACTACTGTAAATATTGTTCTTGTATTAAAAAAAGAAATAAATACAAGTAACATATAACATAATAATTATGTTATTATGTTATAATTTTGCACCAATAAATATTGACTTTTTTTTAAATGGAAAAGTAATTAAATGTTATAAAAAAATGTATGAAAAAAGTTGTATATATGGCAGTTTTTGTTTCTATTAAGTATCCAGTCTTAATGAAAATAACATTTTAAAAATATGCAAATTAAATGCTCTCTTATAATTAGAAAATTAGTTTAGTTGTAAAATCATTTCTATACAAATGAGAGTAACTTAACATAATATTTATTTAATATCAAGAAGTAAAAATATTTTAGAATTTGTTCTTGTTTGTCTTATTCTTAAACATATTTAATATATCTTCTTTGAGCTTCTTCTGAAAATATGATATAGCTGCATATATATTCATCTTCATAAAGAGAACATAACTGTCATCTTTTTCTGTTATAAAATTATTTGCTTTAATTATTAATATGAGAATAATTTGCAACAAAATGTATTATTTTCAACATGCCTAGAATAAAAATAATTTATAGAATAAATAATTTTATGAGTTGTATATGATTTACTTTCTTATAATATTATGATATTTGCTTATTATGTACCTTAACACTATATGCATTATCATAGCCTCCTTTCATTTGCATTTGTGCTTGAATATTTGATAATTGTGCACTGCTCATATCAAGATCTCCACTACTAATATGTCCAGTATGCCTAAAGTTTGTAGGTACTCCTATCATGCTACGATCTATCCTTAGTCTCTGATGTGACCTTTGCCTTCCATTACGTGTTCTAGGTCCTTGTTGCATTAAACAACAAGTAAAACATTGTACCCAAAGTTCTCCACTACCCGCCATTATACTTTAATTGTGTTTACTTCAAAATCTAAGATATTTTAAAAAATATAAATTTATTAAGTGAGTATTTTAGAAATTAATTTATAAAATTTTTTTATTATTTTAATAATCTTAACATATGTCTGTAAAAATAGAAATAAAATTATAAAATGAAATTTAGATCAAATAATTATCCAAAAAAACTTTATTTTTTAAATTATAAATATATGTTTAAAAAATAGTTTTTATAAATTAAATAATAAATTATCTATATTATTATGTGAATGAATGAAACAAATTGATAAAATATTCGTACTTACGAAGTCGTCAAGTAATCGTATTGTCGATCGGTCTAACCTTTGCAATATCCGTTCGAGACTTAAAGACAGAATGAAACAAAATAAACATTCCCTTTTGATCGATGAGTTTACATGTGACTCTAAAGGACATCGAAATTATTTGAACATTTTACTATATAAACTATATAATATTATATATATAGTAATTGAAGCTCTATAAAGATTAAACAATTGACTTTATGGAAACAAAAAAAAAACGAATGAGACATACCGATTCACAAGATGTAGACTTTCGAATTAATTTTCACAATGTAAGTAATAAATCTGTGGCTTTCTTTCTATCTCTAATTATTCATTAAATAATCTTAAGACGATCACTTTTCACCATGTTTCATTGACATTCTTTGAAGAAAATTGAACAGTAATTATTTAGTCGTTTTTTTTTTAATAATTTAAATGACAATCAAAATAAATTTTAATTTCTAAAATATAAAAGCCTGAATGTCAACGTGATCAACGGTTATCAGTATAGCGAATTATATGTACTATATATTATAAAAAGCCGAGAAAATCCGAAGAAAGTCGAAAGTTGTCGAATGTTACCGATCTATAAAATTCTGATCATTGAATATACAAATAGCTTATTCTAAATATATTCAGTCAGACAATTATTGTCTTTTTAAAAAAAAAAAACAATGGTACAAATATAAAATAATAAATTGTTCATTCTTTTATAATTATATATTTGTTATATATTTGTTTTGTTGTTAGGATACATGCATGTATGAACAATACAGCATGACAGCATGAATACGCTTTATTAAATAAATTATATACAGATTCTCACATACAGACATTGCCGCATCATCAAAACGCTATACGCACTAAATAAAATATAAATTATTCTATGAAAATCTTCGACTACAATACATTGACTTTAGAGGCCTTTACTCTTTGAATTAACATATATAGTTCCAAATACTCCCATTCTTTTGCATATTGAGATTTGCAAATATATATTTTATGTATTTATCACAAGTAAGTAATTTCTTAAAATATCATTTTGCTAATTTTGTTGTCAAAAAACGAAATAAAAAAAATTTTATGTGAAAAATATGAAATTCTAATTATATTATAAATCCTAAATAAGAGAGTATCATCAATCTTTATGCAAGTGCCTAAAAGATATAAAAAAAATTGGTGACATACAATATATATATTAAATGTGAAATCTGAAAATGATTTCATGTTTTTTTTTGTACCACTCCAATTCCTTCTTTTATATGATGTCCTCCATTCAGGACTCTTTTACATATCTGGTTTATAATAATAGATATTAGAATTATCACAGTCTGTGTATTTATAATTTAAACATTAATGTAAGATCCTTCTTAAATTAATTTAACAACATTATTTTTCTGTGTGATGTTGTTCTGAAAAAAGTCTCAGGAAAGTTAGCTTTATTGTTGCACATGAACAGCAGAACATTATGAAAAAAAAATTTTTTAATTCATATAAGATACAAAAAAAGATGGAAAAAGAATACTTTAAAGGCATGCATATTGGAACTAATGTTTCTATAACTACTGAATAAACCTGTATATCATATGAAATAATATCAATAACTTAATTATTAGTTATATCTCGAAAATGAATATGTCTTATTTGTATTTTGTATTTACAGCTTAAGTATTTATACAATGTTATGTGATAAAAATCTGAAACTTTCCTTCATGTCTCTTTTTCTTTATCAAATATTTTTCATTTTTTTTTTATTTGGCTTATAATTTTTCTATTTTTTTTTTTTAAATTCCTCAATTATGAAAGATTATTTAAACGCTTGATAAAAAAACTTGATCTCTAGGGTAGAGTTGAAAGATATCAAAAAGTCGTAAAAATAAACGATAGATATAATGATTTTTTGAAAATTATATAAATAATAAATTCAAAAAATCAAATGATTACAATTTTGATTCACTCTGCACAACTGGCGTTTTAATTAAAAAAAAAAAAACTTTTATATCATTTTGTAAAAAAATCTTCCTATTTTACTCCATATAAATTAATATCTTGCCTCTTTTTTTGTGTACTTCTTTCTGAGAATTAATCTTATGCAATTATCTTTTTCTTATTATTATATAAATTAAATTTGCAAGAATTAAAGAAAGAAAAATCTTTACAAAAGTATTTTTCAAAATCCATAATTCTTTCAATCAATTTCAAACAATTACTATTGTTTGTTCCGTCGTATTTTCTATATACGTTGTACATTCTAAATGAAACGAGAAAATACCAACTATTCTATCGTGCAAATCCAAGAAAATCTGTGAGTCTATCGTTCCAATCGTGAAGCCAGTGAGTGGGTCCATGATTTGGTTGTCTCTGTTTGCAAGGATTAATTTCTGTCTCCAAGGGCATATATTCCTCGCCCCTGATACAAAAATAACTTTTTATTGGACTTCTACACATTGGACATCGATCTAGTTTGCCAAAACAGGATGCACAGATGCAGGTATGCCTGCAAGGCAATAGAGCACGTGACAGAGGAAAGTATTGGCAAACAACGCAAAGTTGTTCTCCAGCTGTGTTCCATAGCGATCCCTCGGGATCGCCAGTACCGGAGGCAACCAATGCGCCCCTAGTTGTACTACCGTTGTTGTTACAAGGCTCTGCAAGGGCCAGAGCTGAACCTAGACCCGAAGACATATCTCCTTCGTCATAATTCGTTGAATTGCCGGTGGCTAAATATAATTGCTAAAATAAAAATAGTTATGAGATTATTTTTACAAATGAAAGTATAGATTTTCTTTTTTATCAAATTTAAATTAAAATTGAACATGCTTACTTTAAGACAAGATAATTGTCCGTTAGCTTGCTTGAGATATTGCGCCAGAATCGAAGTGGGTAGTGTGCATACGCTATCTTTGATATGGACAACATTTACTAGAGCCACCTTTCAAAAGGAAAAGTAATAAATTAATAAAATATAATAATTATATTTAAACATTTAATGAAAAAATTAATTCCATAAAAAGATTGCAAGAGATTTATAATGAACTTAAAAAATATCCACCGTCTCGTCTGGATGAGGATCTCCTGTATCTTTACGAGTTAGAAAGATTACTAGAGGATAACAAAGTCTAGGTGGTGTTCCAAGCTCTAATTCTGGTGCCGGAAGAGACAATCTTAATGTTTCTTCTCCGTGTGGTTGTCTACTGGATATTTTAATCAAGGAATAACGAATGATATCATTAACGATATTAATATTAATTACAATATAAATTTTTAAAATTATATATGATTAACTCAAATATATATATGGAAAAGAAAGAAAAACTGGTTTATATCTAAAAAAAAAAGGATACGTTTGTGGTGGTGTAAGATATTGAGCATGGCCTTGAAGAAGAGTACCATTCAAGGACGCGTCTCTAAGGGTACTCCAAGGTTTCCAAAGTGCCAGGTGAAGTTCTCTTATACTAACTCCCCAGAGCGCTTGCAGAGAATACTCAACTTGACTCGATACCTCGCATTCAACTTCTGTAACAAAAAGACCAATAATTTTAATATAATATAATGTAATAATATATATAAAGATTGATACAAAAATAATACAATCAAAGACTTAAAAGATCATTTTCATTCATTACAATACATTATCACAAAATATTAAAAAAAATATGTGCAATGCTTACATTAAAGAAATAATTTTTATAATTTCGTTTTTATAAATTAAATTTCAAATTGTAATATTTTTTTTATCTCAACAAAGATTTATTTATTTACACTTTGAATTTTTGCTTTTGAAAATAGATATAATAAAATAATAATTTAGAGAAATAATATAGATGATTCATTTCTGATTCATTTCTGATTCATCGATATAGATGATTCATAATATACGTACATACCTATGTATAAGAAATATTTATTTTACTATAATGCAGAAAGAATACAAAACTAGATAGTTTCAATTCCATGTTTACATGGTTATTGAGATGATTATGTAACGAATCTACTTTCGATTCTTTTTACTCTCATCTGGTTTTAAAATATATCCAATAGGCCAAGATAGAGTTTTTAGGTCATGTGTGAGAGGATATTTACTCTAATTCTAATTCTTCCATACATTGTCTTTCGATTTTGAAACAAATCAAAAAGTATCTAGGAAATCAGCTTATTTCGTGTTATCATCTATTTGGTCTTTCGTGTTTTTGTATAGAAATTGAATTACATTGTATTATTTTGAAGTGAACTTTAAAAAACTATTCTAAAACAAACTTTAATCGTTAAAAAAAGATAATTAAATCTAGATCAAAGAATATACAAATTAACCATGCACTTGGAATACAAAAGACTAATTATTAAATATAATGTTGAATAAATTGAACTTTACAAAATAATAATGCAACTATTTCACAAATGAATCATAGAATCAGAGAATATTATATCTTTTTGAAGTTGAAAACTAGGACTAAATTATAACCCTAAACTTTTAATCGTTAAAGTATTCATAAATTTTCCATTAATCTTATCTCATTTATTCATGTCTAATAAAACGATAGATAAATCGGTTTACAGAAGTTAACGAATCATCGTTGGTAAGAGATAGAAAAAATTGTACAGCGTCTCGTGACGGAAAGCGACACAGGAAATGGAGAATCGTGACCCGAATCTCGTGATCCACGTCACAGTTAAAGTAATTCGAGCTTCATGTGGACAATCGTGGCCAAAGATCCTCAATAATTTGTGGAGAGGCCACTGTCGAGGAGATTGCTTCGAGATCACGCGAGATTGGTGTGAACGAAAGTGAAAGCTACCAAGATGGATCGTCCAACGCGATAATTTCCACAGGCAAAACTATTAAATCAGCCATTCCATGGAACCACGAAATTTAATTGTTCTCGTATAAAGATATCGATTTCGAATCTATCTTAACGTTTCTTCTTAGATCTATCAATCTTTTTAATTGAATCGAATGCAAAGAGTTCATTTCTAAATAAATAAAGTATTTTCTAACCTCTCTTGGATCACATTCCATCTCAATGTCTTAAAGATTTTTATGGCTTCTAGTATTTATATCATTATGTTATATTTTATAAAATTATATTTATATTTATAATTAATTTTAGAAAAAATTTTGAAATTTCTTAATCTTTAATCTAAATTCTTAGAAATGAGTTCTTAATAAAGCACACGCTCTTTTGATTACTTAGTAACAGAAAACTATACAATTGTATAGTAAATATCGATGCTGCTACATACGGAAACGCGATGCGTGGCACGAACTAAGAAAATGTTGTACAAATATTAACGTGATTATTAATAAAGAATTCAAAATTGATCTGATAAATTTATATTCGTATAAATAACAAAATGCATTGTGAAATCCGATCACGAGAAAAATAAATATATCAAAGAACGTGAAGAGCCATAACATAAATATTATTTTTAATTTAGAAAGATATATATTTTTTACAACCAATCCTTACAATTTTTCATAAAATATATATATATATGTACATATAAAACAGAAAAAATTACAATAGTCTCAATGATCTTAATGCAATGTTCTAGCTATGTAAAAATAATTCGACTTTTATTTTCAAGTTATATGGTGAACTCAGAATTTCATAATTTCAAGTTAAAGCATGGCCGGTCAAGCACATCTGAAGTGGTTGGCAAAGACTTAACACGTATGCTGTCACAATGAGCGAGGACTATGTAGGTCAAGCTTCGCGAGTGATATCCTAGAAGTTCTAGATGAAACAGGGATTTGTGAACTATGGACTTTGCAAGGTAAACTGGTACATCTAGAAACATTTGAAACCCCGGAATGTTCTAGATATTTGAAACCAATACGAATACCTAACTAAATTTTAATATCTGATTAAAAATTTTAAATTTAATAGGAATTTAACAAGAATGTTCAATCGTTAATTATGGTTTTTCAAGATCAAATTTAATTCGAAATCTAGATCTTCGTCGAAAATTTCTCTGATTAATTCGTAAATTATATCACGTATTCTCGATTCGATCGATCGATCAAAAGAGAGAGAAAGAGAGAGAGAGAGAGAGAGAGAGAGAGAGAGAGAGAGAGACGAACTTTTTTTTCTCGAAAAGTTTTATTTTTACTTGTATTTAAAAAACTCGAAATAATTTTCTACGTAATTGAAAAATCAACGATCGAATTATCAACGATTTGACTTATATCAATTACTGAAATTCGCGAACCTTTTCGATTGGAGAATGAAATCAATCGATCGATACAATATATCGAATGAATCGTACGTCTCGAATGGATCGGTGAAAGGCCAGTTAACCGACCAGATAGACTGCAATCGCATGAGCATGTTGCACTATGTTCGCCCAAGGAGCAATAAAATGAACACGTATGATCTGTTGCATTTATCGGATATTAATGAGTTCTACATTGACAATATATCATTTTAACCAACTGATTAAAAACTAATTTTTTTTTTTTTTGACATCGTATAATAAAATATTCCAATTTCAAGTTTCAAATATTTAATTTACAAGATTGTAATTAATCTAAATTCCAGGAAATAATTCAGCTTCGTATGACATAATCATAAGTTTTTCGTAGTTACTTTCTTATATTTTCTATTATAATCTATTCTAATATTTTTTTTATTAATTAAATATGGAGAGAGATTCGATACCGTAAGTTTTTAGTGAATATAAAAAAATATTAACCGATCGAATCTAATTCAATCTTTCATTTTATCGAAATTTTCAGTTTTTTTTTTTCCACTTCGATAAATATGATCAACGCTAATGCGATTCTTACTTTGAAAAGTTTCACTGAAATTGTTAAATTTCACCCAATCGTTGTATAAAATGTAACAAATGCAAAAAAAAAAAAAGAAAAGAAAAGAAAAGAAAAAAAAAACGAAAAAAAAAANAAAAAAACGAAAAAGAATAACGTTCACTGAAAATGATTCGAAGAACGGTGATATGGAACTATTCGATTATCAAACATTGCATAATCAAGCAGATTCGTTCGGTTGATTGCATTAGCTGTTTGTGGAAATCGGATCATTTCGCGTGCATATATCCGTCTCCTTCGTTTACGAAACAAACACTGCATACAGTTCTAGCCGAGTGCAAACACGATTACCGTAATACACACGTAACCCAGGAAAATTGTGAAATTATTTCTCTTTCTCACTTCACGAGTAGCGAACGATAAAAATAGAGTCAAAGATATCAAAACGATCAAATCAAAATTAAATTTTTGTCAATTTGACGATAATTTATAAATAATCTTATTTTAATCTTTTTTTAATAATTTATTTTTCTTCCAATTATTAATTTTCATTCGTAATTTTTCAATTTCTTTTTTTTTTTTATTATCATTTTTCTTGCTCGCATGTGCATATTCTTCGAATCGACATGGATCTAAACGGAAATATTGATTCACGAGGCTTTCCTCAATGGATCGATTGTAAAATCGAATGAGACTCGATACGTGAAACAATATTCATTCTTCTCGACACTTCGAGAAACATAGTTTCGCGTAGAAACTTCCTTAAAATTGTTCTGATAAAGATTTTTATTGCGCCACAGGTAGTTTCTGTAACGATCTCGTGTCCTCTTCAATTCTCTTTGCTAACATCATCGACAGTATCTTTGCCTCTTTGTTCGTTCTCGCCGATGGGTTATTATGTACCTTGAGCAGTCTCTCGAGCTACAATCATGATTCACTTTCTTAGTTAGCTTAACTTTCTTACCAAGTGTTCCAAGAATGAACGCAATAAAAATGTTTGCTCTTTTTAAAATTGTTGCCAAATTAAATGCATTCCAATAATTTTTTAACTTATTCTTTTGAACTTCTTTTTTTCATCCATTGCATTTAATTTTCTGCACGATTGTTATGTTATCCATTTCCATTTCGTATAACATTTTGAGAAAATCAGAAAGTCGCTTGATCAAACGAATCATACGATGATAAGCTTTGTACAAATTGTACAAATTATATACATTTCTCGCTTTATACATCCACTACTCACTCTATATTCTCTCTCTCTCTCTCTCTCTTCCTCCCTCCCTCCCTCCCTTCCTCCTTTTCTCTCTTTCTCTCTCTCTTATTCTTCGTTCTTGTTCTTAGTATAAAGAAACGTCAAAATCAAGTTTCGTGTAATTTGCAAAGAAAATCAAATATTAGAAATAAAAAATTGATGAAAAAGATAAGATATCTCTCCAATTCCACGAATAAAGAATGCAAATATCATGCAAATGTTACGATAAAAGGTATCCTTAGAATCGCACGAACACCCTATACCTGATCATTTCCAGTGACCTTGATTGTTCTACTGGATTGTTGCCTGGATACCTACAGTCACGTAGGCAAGACAGGATTTTTCTTTTTCTTCCATTTTACACGAAATACGTATACTTTACGACCGATGGAATATTCTTTGTTCTATTTTGTTCCGATCGTGACAGGGAGGAACGAAACCGATCCAAATCGGCGATTGCTCGTTCATACGTGTAACAGTTCCTAGCCTTGAGCCTCG